TGACACTCAGTTCAAGCCACAGTGATTTGAACAAGCCATTGAAGACTTAGGCCTGATAAGGAGTAAAACTGAGAAATGCAATCTGACATCTATTTAATAGGTAGAAGATTTAAAACAAACAAAAGGAAATATTTTTTCATGCAATACACAGTCAACCTGTGGAACTACTTGACAGAGGATGTTGTGAAGACCAGGGTTCAAAGAGCTAGCTAAATTAATGGAGGACAGATCCATCAATGCTTATTAACCAGGATGGATAAGAATGGTATCCTGACAAGCAGAAGCTGAGAACGGGTGACATAATAGGGATCACTTGATGATTACCTGTCTGTTCATTCCCTCTTGGGACACCTAGAATTGGCCAATGTTGGAAGACAGAATACTGGTCTAGATGACCTTTGGTCTGACCCAGTATAGCTGTTCTTATGTTCATATAGACATGACTCTTTTGGAGTTAGCATGACCAAATGTGTTGTGTCGAACAAAGATGGAAAGGACATCCCAAAAGCTTTACTTCTCCTGACTAAGCCCTGGTCAACTTACAAAGATAGACACAAAAACGTAGTGAAACATATGAGCAAAATATGTGATGAAGATGAAATTCAAATCCCATCTAAGGCAAGAATTTTGGATGTGTAGCCATATTTTAGCTTAATGAATCCTAAGGTAGAGTTCACATTAATCAAGCCAGCCACTGAAGCTTAGTCAGCCCAAGAGGTGAAATCACTGGCACTAGAAAGGAAACTTATAATAGTTGTCTCCATATTTTTATTTGTGGATTTTTTTTCCATTTTTGGGGAAGAAGTTATCACTGAGTGAAAATTCTAACTGAATTTTGACCTATACTACTCATATTTATTGTATTTCCTCTGAGACCCAGCTGCTTATTTTCTTTGTAGCTGATAACTGATTTCCGATGAGTTACTATTTTGGAAATTGAATAATTTAACTCATTGTTTGATTTTATGTGGTTATCAATTTTATTTATTTTATGCAGAGGACTTAGTTTTTATATGCAATGGCAATTGAAAATCTTATTTAATTATAATTTAGTAATATTTAGAAAATGTAATCTAAAAATATATCAAACACACTCCTCCAGCTCACCAACATTTCATATGTCAAAAGGAGGTGTCAATAGATTCATCCATACTTCCTCCATGTCTGAACCACATGCCTGAGAGCCAAATCAAATTTTTAAGCAAAAATCAAGAGCTCACGTGAAATATAAGATTTATTATGCTGAAAACAAGTAAAGGCTAGTTAGCACAGACTCTACCCCCTCAAATATAGTCTCATCAATTTCCATCAGACTGAGTGAAGTAGATTATTTTGCAGGACAGGGATGATATTCACTCAATTGCACTGAGGATAGATAAACTCATCGTAGGCATCTTGAGAGGACTCGGAATCTATCCCAGCAAGAAACCCTCCTTCTACTTTTCATTGCCTACTACAATTGTACTGAAGTCTCCATACTCTCTAAATAGACTTCATTCTCTCTGCTCACCTTTTGTCAGAAGTCAGCTGGCCTGCTCTTCAGCATGAGGCTAGTCAGGTTATTTGCCAGGAAACTCCAGACACGAAACTCCAGCCCCTCCTCCTTCAACTTTCAAGCTGACTGAACCAGCCTTAACATTTTGGGGTTCACCCACCAAAAATCTTCATCCCATTCTCTCTTCTGTGATTGAGCAGACCACTATGCAGAGGACTGGCAATAACATTTTGGAACAAGCCAGTGAGGTGAATTTTTGGTGTCAATTGTGAGAAGTAGAGGATGTGGAAAGCAGACTAACATGCCTTTCTGGACATGGTTGTGGGCTGACCATGATTATAGAAAGTGGTGCCAGTGTTGAAACCTGTACTAGATCTTTTATGCATTCTGGGGAGTGACTCCAGACATTTAGGATGAAGGCTTGAAGGCTTCTGATGTGTGATTCTGCTGTTCATGGAATGATCTCTCTATATGGTAAACCTCATGTGACTCTGGAAAAAGATAAGATCCTAGATTTTCTGAACCTTTCTAATGATGGGAAGATCTTTGTTAGCAATGTGTCTGTATCTCCCCCTCCCCCAAGTGAATTATTCTGGTAGGCAAAATAAAGGAACTTTTCTTGATATTGATGATGAAACCATGAGCCTGCAGGAAATTCAATGTCTCAAATATGGCTCTTCTGAGCTATGTATTACACTGGAGCTCTGATCAGAGTAGCCTCCAGAAGCGTTGGGCAGTGATAATGTTTCTGCCATAGGCACACCTTGCCAATTTGTAGATAGCATGGTCTGATGGTGAGGTATGAAGACAACAGATTCACTGAAGTCAAGAAGTTCCTCACAGGGCAGTGATGACACTGTAAAGGCCACACTCTTCATCCAAAATTTCATTTTCTTCATCCTTTTGAAGCTAAGAATGACTCTCTGATATCACCCCTTCCTTCCCATGTGTTTCTGCACAATGAAGAAGATGCAGCTGAACTGAGAACCTTTCTTCTGCAAGAATGCTCTCTACCCCAGCCATATGCAGAAGTTGAGATATTTCAGATGCAGACTGGGTGGGGTGTAGCCTGCAGCCAAGGCAATGAACCAGGCCCACTTGTCCATGATCAATGTAAACTACTCCTCTAGGAAGTGGAAAATTCTGTCCCCTAGCTTCAGTTCTAGGTGGAGGCCTATCACGTCTTTGTCATGAAGTGGATTGGGGTAGGGGTTTGAGATACCTCTGGATTTTCCCCCTGAACTTTCCCCCTGAACTTGGACTCCACTGTTTTCTTTTGGAGAATCTGTTGTCCCTTCACTGATACTTTTGTGAAGATGAAACTTAAAGTGCCTCTGTCTGAAGGCTGGTCTATATTCTATCGCGAGGGCATTTGGTGGTGAGATGAAAGACCTTTTGGATTTTGCAGCATTATTGCCCACCTTTATTCACCTTTTCTCCAAAAAGGAAGGAACCTGTAAGCTTGGCCTAACACAGGACATGTTTAGATTGTGTATTCATCTTTCAGGGTCAGAGCCTTAGGTGGTGCATGGCTACTGAGTTGAAAGCCAGGGCTTGGGCTGAGAGCCTCATTTCCTCCATTGAAGTGTAAGCTACAAAAGCTGTTAGGCAGACTTTCTTTAAAATGGAACCAATAGAGCCCTTTGAGTCCTGAATATTATAGTGTCTGATACCACTTTTGTTAATGTGCTTGCTCTCTTCAGCCTTGTTCCATTCACTTCCTCTAAAGAGGAAGGAATGGATATCACAGCCTCAGGAAATGTTAGTGATACAAATTTACTTTGAGGTGTAAGCTATGTTTAGACTACAATGATCTATCAGAAAAGAGGTATGCAAAATGCGCTCCACAATTTGCATATCTTTTTCCGATAGTTTTTTCGGAAGAGGCTTTTCCGAAATTTGGCCCATCTACACCGGGGTGGGGAACCTTATTGGGGGGGCGGAAGGCACACACTAGTAGGGTTGCCAGATGGTTTCAGCAAAAAAAAAAAAAAAAAAAAAAAAAGCAGACGCATTCCCTGGACGTAGCAGAGTTTTTCCAGGATACTTACAATATCCTGAAAAAATCCCGTAGTCTAGACATAGCCTTACTCTGAGGAGCATGTCCAGGATGAATTTGAATTATGGAGACAATCTTTGTGCATAATCTGAAATTCTTTGGGGGTTAACAAAAGCTCTATTCTTTTTTTTTATACGTTCTCTTTGGGTTCAAGGTCTGACAGCTCAACTTTCTGAGTGGAACAGAGGCAGGGGTAGGAAGAAGAAGATTCTTTCTTTCTTTCTTTGCTTTGGTAGCACAGAAGCTGTGCTTCACCTTTGGTGAGACCTTTTGTAGCTTGCCTTCGTCTGGACCTGAAGCTCTCTTGTGAGATGTCTCCATATCCTCTCCTGCTGGATCCTATTGCCTGTAGTGGGGATGACTTGTCAGGTCTCTCCTGGTCATTGAGGAGGAGGGGAGCAGAATTACCACCCTACTTCTTTCTCTAGGACGTTCAGGACGCACTTCAAGACTTGGACTGAGGGGACTACTGGAATTCATACTCTAAGTTGACTGCTTGAGGCCTGCTTTGTCTTTACAGTCTCCCTTCTCTGCACTGAGGTGCCCAGTCCATTTTTCCCATTGTGGATTTGCATGTTCTTTGGTGGAAAAGGAGCCCCACATGCCTTTACGATGCATGGCCTTGGGTTATAACAGAGCTGGGCCATCTGCCACAGCTGGGGAGTCTGCTTTACAAATAGAAAACCACTTGATTTGACCCAATGCTTTGTTGGCTGCTCTGCCATGCCTGTTTGGGGGCAGAGGAACTGGCAGGAAGACTTTGCAGCAGAAGGTCATAGTGGGTTAGATCACAGGAGTGCTATCCAAGTTAAGTAGGAGGAAGCTGAAAAGAAAACTACTAATCATTTCCTGAAAAACTGCATAAAAATGTAAAGAGACAAAATGAAGACAGCTACATTCAAACCACTACTAAGTGCTTGCTGCTGTAGAGGCAGAGAATCTGATCCAAGTAATAGCAGCGGAGGTGTGACCAGAGCATTCAGCTCCAAAATACTGATTCTCCTTCATGAACTTCGGAGTGGAAGGAAGCAAACCAGACATCCAGAATCATGGTAGAAGGGGCTGCAGAATCTGTGGTGGCTGGTGAATTTCAGCCACTTGCACAAAGCAGCATTGGAAAAATCTGTTTAATCTTAAAGATCTGTCCCATTGACAGTGACTGCCTCTCCCTTTACAGTTTTAGCTACATAACACCCTGCTTCTCCTGACTATGACCCACGCTATCTGTCTTGCCTCTTAAGTCTTATAGTTTACTTTTGCCTCCAACCACCTCTCAAACCTGACTTTGCTCAGTCCTCACCTGCCGCTTCACACAAAATACCAGTCGGTGCAGTTATCAGCAATTCAATATGAGGGTGATAAGTACTATATAAAAAAGATTGGATAGATAGATCCGATAATGCCAGTCTCCCAGCTCATTTCAAATCAGGAAATAGAGGCTGTGGCTGGGAGACATGATCTCAGTTTAATAGTATATATGAAAGTTTTCTTTTATTTAAAAATAGGGCTTATTACAGTTATAGTTTATGGCTGAAATGTGTCCAAGAGTACATAGATTTGAACCTCCAGGATCAGAAGAGAAACTGCAGTGATTACAGGATATTCTTTGAGCCTTTTTTTCTCTTAATCTATGCACATTTGAAAATATTCCTGAAATGGAAAACATTTTCATGCATGGAGGAGGGGGAGAGAATTAACATAAGACTATAGTATATTAAGGAACATGCAGCAATACCAATGAAAGTGCAGGGTAATAGAAAAGTGAAAAGGTCAACCTAAAGTTAGATTCTCCTATATCAGTTCATGAATAACTTTCATTCTCTTCAATGAATATTACTCATATCTCAGAGTAGAATTAATGTGGTTCATTTTGTAATGCTCCATTGTGTTTTGTAGCAAACCTAAATTTGGATGTTCATTATTAGGCTTTCAGTGGCCAGCATGGACCAAAAAGTCTTAAAGCAACATACCTAACCTTGGTAGAGAAGTGTTCTGGAGTTGCTATTGCTAAGTTAAGGAGTAGTGATAATGCAAGTTTATCTAATCCTTTTCCATTAGCCTGATCATGACAGAGGGATTAGAACTTAATGGGAAATAACAGGGAAACCTCAGTCTTATCAAAGACACTGGTCATCAGAGAGGGAGGCAGTTTACATTAAGGAAAATAATAATGCAGTATAAAACATTTAAAATGACTTGACATACAAAGCAGACAGCATTTTCTGCCTAGGAATAGTTCTTAAGGAGATGCGTTGAAAACCATTCTTATATTCATATTTAAGTTTTACATCAGTGGTGTGTAAAAAGAAATGTTCAGATTCTAATTTAATTAGTCATACATTTATCCAAACACTTAGGTGTCAAATGCAAATAATTATGCATTTATGCTCAGAGATACCTGAATGATTTGAATTATCACTGACCTTTCAATATGTGCACTGTTTGGTACACTGAAAAAGTTTGACAAGTTTGAGTATCAAGCGTTATCTGTAATGAGGATCACATTGTCCTTATGCACATATTTCAAAAAGCTTTTCCACTTTAATAGGTATTCTGTATCAGTCTTGAAAATTCAACATTTTAATATAATCATGAATGTCACTAAGAGCCACCTACACAATTCCCCAGTGCAGCATGAATTTTAATTTTCAATGACTTTATTGAGAATGTTCAGTAAATTTTACAATGAGAAACTTTAACTGCTATTACACAACTTGTAAATATTTCACACATGACAAAAAATTTCTATTTTTTTGAATTTTTCTCTTCCATGTTCAAGTCTTGAGGTGAATTTTCTTCCTTAGCTTCATTTTCATCTTCCTATAAAATAAAATAAAGTAACAATAAGTGCTCAATTTTTAATTTTTAGAAATTTGATCTTATGAGTTAAATTGAAAAATGTTACCTGCTGCTTCAACTAACAACTGCTTTGAGACTCATTATACAAAGAAAGAAGGCTCTAAAATATAAAAGTTAAAATGTGATGATATTTAAAACTTGTAGTGGATGCTATTTTTTACCTTCCTTTGGTTCTTGACCAGAGGTTTCCATTAAATCACTTCTAAAATGCAAGAACTTTCATCACTGTCCTAGAAATTACTTTTGAATAGCATCTGCCATTGAAAAATGTTTCATTTTTTTGAAACCAGATACGTTTACTTCACCATTTGATAAAAGACAATAAATTTAACTTCAGAGACACTTTATGTGCTGCAACATCGTATTTTTGTCCCATCTAGCATATTTTCTTGACAGGTCTGCCAATTTTCCAATTACTTGTACCACCATATGTTATCTGAAGATCAGTCAGGTCTAAAATAGGAAACATGAGCATGTCAGGCAGCAGCATGCTTACAATATTCTACAGCTTCAACTCTAGGAGTATGGCTCATAATTCATTGTGAGCTCCTCTGGAGCATACTGAATAAATGAAGTGACATCATAATGTCCGTTTCCATAGGAATGAATAGGATCTTGTGTCCAACACTACATGTTGACCTCCAAAATATAAATTATGGCATCTTGAAAAAAATATTTAAAGGGACATCTTGTAACTGAACTCAACAGAAACAGTCCTATGAGCACATGCACAATGCAGATTGTCCTATCTTCATACTGTTTGCATTTTGTTTTACAAAACAAGAATCTTAGTCTCAATTATAAAAATAAACAAAAGACATTGAAATTTGAGTGTTATTAATGTTCTAGTTTACATGAAAACCCATTGCCAGGGACCAATGGCAAATAATTGCTACACAGAGAGAGGATGATGTAGTGCAGGGGTGGGCAATAATTTTTGATGGTGGGTCACTCCAAGAATTTGGTAAGTGGTCAAGGGCTGAACTTTTCTATGTAGAGGATGTGCAGAGAGTTGGAATGCGGGAGGGGATATGAGGTGCCAGAGGCAGACTCTGGCTGAGAGATGCTTACCTAGGAACCTAGCAGGACTCTCAGACAGGCTCCTTGCCTGCCAGCAGCCCCAGACTGCTCAAAGTTCCATGTAGCTCTCTGCAATGTGCGCCAGAAGGGAGGCTTTGTGCATGTTGACCCCACCACCAGCACAATCTCTCAGCTCCCAATGGCTAGTACCCTCCCCCCCTTGCACACAGTGCAGACAACTAGATGAATAGCACGGAGCTAATCCATGCCAAGGTTGGTGTGATTAAAAGGGTTGGTGTGCTGGATCCAGCCTGCAGGCCGTATCTTGCTCATTACTGGTGCAGTAGTTGGTTGGAGACTTAGCTTAGGTACAACAAACCCAGGGTGTGTTTCCTATTTGCCAAAGGCTTTCTACATGACCTTGAGGGAAAGTCACTTTGTTTCTCTGTGCTTAAGTTCCCCATCTGCAAAACAAAAATAATAGAACTTTCCTAATTAACTGGGGATGTTGAGAATAAAAATATTAAATATTTTGAGGTGCTCAGATATAATGGTAAAGGACATAAAAACTTAAGACAGAGCATCAATAGAAACTCCCTAAGTAAATATAGCCATACATATTACATATAACATAAATTTGCAGAGTTTAGCTGTTCATTGAAAAAGTGCAGAAGGAAATACAGTTTGAGAAGTTCAAAATCTAAGTTCAGTAGAAGCTCTCTGAAAGAGCAGACAAGCAAGATGTTTCATTTCTGGATGACTCACCAGGAGGGGAGCTGAATGGCATCATCACCCATTTGTAAGTTGTTAAAGAATTGTCTAAGGGTTGACTATTTCTCCAATGCATGTGACTCACCTGCAATCAACCAATTTCCCTTATTCTTTATCCTTTTCTGTTTGCCAGCACCCAGCTCCTGCTCTCCCCAACACTTATTCTGGCCCTGAAGTACCCCCTTTTAACTCTTAGCTGCACACTCCTCCTGTGAGCCTACTTCTGGTTTCCTGCACACCTAACAGCAAACAGAGGCTTATAGGCAGGAACTACAGGCGAGGAAATGGGATAACTTAACTTTCCATCTTCTCTGAAGCCCAAGAGAGGGAGAAGAATAGAGATATTTTTATCCTTTCCAAGAAATTTTACTTTGTGCAAGTTTGCTAAACATGATATGATTTGTAGTGATTTTTAGCCTCCTTGCAACAAAATTAAGCTGTTTTGTGCCAGCTCCCTTTTACTGCTCTACCAAGTGCTTTAACTTTAACCTAAAGGGACCACTTCTAGAAGGTAGTTAATTCCATATTCATTCAATACTTGGCCTCTCTGCTGAGGCTGACAAGGATGCTAATTAATGTCAACTGTGATAGCAATTTTTGTGATGTGCATTCCTATTAATTTGGAAGTGAAATGTGATTGCCAGTTTACTTCAGGTGGATCTGGACCAGCATTCCAGATATATTAAAAATCCCCTGAACTGGCAGGTCCCAGTATTCCTCCAATGTGTTAACTGGCTATTATAGTAAAATTAGAATTTCAATGTTTGAAAACACCATTTCTTGTACTTCAGGAAGATTTCTTATTATATACAGAGTATTTAACTGGTTGTGGTTTCTAAAGTAATTCACAATGTTTGAATTTTAAGTGGACTATTTAGCCTAATTATCAAGGAATGATGCTGAATAGACTGAAGATTAAACATGCTTAATGTATTTGCTTTACTAATTACCACCTACAGTTATACAGATTCTCATTGGTAAGAAATCCACAATACATACTGTGTACATATAGGGTACACTAACCCACAACTGGAACGCACCAACTGTTCTACACCAGCAAAACTGGGTTTTCTTTATCAGAGGCAGTGACGAGGCACTTTTTGTAGGGCACATGTTAGGTGGGAAGAATAATTACCCAGAAGAAAGTCTTTTATTTTTAGGTTAACAATTCAAAACTGGTCCAGGTTGGCAGACAAAGTTGCTACCATTGGTGGTTATTTAGTGGCTTCTGGTAAATGGCCATATTCTAGTTTCTAATGGACAGATGTTCTGTCATCAAAACATTCATCCTCACAGCTAACATTAATGATTCACATTTCTACTATTTTTCTTTTGGTTCTTTTAATCATCCTGTTTATAGACAATATAGTCTAACAAAATGTTAAACTGTACAGGCTTTTGAGAATATTCTCATATTTGGATTCATATGTAAAAAGATTGAAGTAGTTTTTACTAATAGATGGTACAGATCACATTCACCATAGTTTCTATTTTTTTCAACAACAAAAGGTCCAAATTTTGAAAAAGCCAGTGCAAACAAATGTCTCGCTAATAGTATCCGAAAAATATCCTTCAACTCAGGCTCTGGCAGATTGTAAGAGAGAGCTAGTTCTAGAGCTTAAACCCTGTTCCAAGATCATAATCCCACCCACACCTAGGAATTCCATTTCAGGGACAGACAGTGACTTCTAATGGCTCACTGCAATTGCTACAATGATACCTCAGATGGCAAGTTCTCCCAGGTCATTCCAGGCTTTATAGCTGGTTACCACATGAACCACCTATCCTGAATTGCAGTAACAAATTAATTTGGAAGCCATTGCAGAGCACAAATATTGTGAGTTTAATGGTTATGTAAATTAACTAGCCCCATAATATATGAAGCATATTTACATTTAACAGCTCAAAGACTTCATTCACATTGTAATAAATTAAGATTACTTGTTTGTAATTGCTGTTCTTTTATGGTTGTGATAATAACAGATCAAGCTCCTCAGTCTACACACAGTAACTTGGATTTGATAACTCACACTGGTAAACTGCCTCCAAGAAACCCATATTTAACAGCTGAGAAAAAGAGAAAGAGGGGGATACAGCCATGTAGATTGGGACCATCAGTAGCATGTCATACCACAAATATTTTGTAGACCAAAGAAAAGAGACAGGAAAAAATGGAGCAGAGTTGGGGAGAAATTGCATTATAATCACTATCCTCAGAGAATTATAGGTACCAGTATGTTATTTTCACTTCTAAAAAGCTGCTAATTATGAAAGAGCTACCACCTAGAAAATAAAAATCATGAAAGCAGTCTTCTTTACTGAAACATGTGATCATGTATAAAAATAAAAGCAAAATGAACTCCCATAAAATTCATGTTGTCTAAACAGGGAAGAGTGAGGGTAAAAAAAGCTGTATTTCTTATATAAGGAAGAACAAAATACAAGGTTGTGAGTTTACCTTCTTTTATCCCTTTGACTCAGAAACATTTTACTTTCTTTACCTTTCCATCAGCTGGCTATCTGAAGTCTTGAAGAAAAAAATGTATCTGACCGACTGCACAGGAAGTTAGAGACATATAAAATACTAGCACAGCATTGCTCATGTGTGTGACTATAGAAATGGTTGGTTGGGTTTTGTTGGGAAATAAAACAAAAATGCAAATATATTATGTAAATGATTGTAATTTTCAAAAAAGAGGGCATGGCCTGGCCCTGTGAGGAGCTGCATGGGGGGCAGGAGAATCCCCAGACCCCAAGAGGAGCAGTGTGGGAGGTGGGGGGAAAGGAGGGCATCCCTTGGCCCTGTTAGGAGCCGCACGGGGAAGGAGGGGGCAGGGAGGCGAAAGGGAGCCCTCTGACCCTGCATGGGGGAAATCCCCAGGCCCTGTGGGAGGGCTAGGGGGAAGGGAATCCCCACGCTTCAGGTGAAATGGCGGGGTGGGGGTAAGAAATTGCTAGGCCCTGTAGGGGCCTTAAACCCAGAGGCGGGTAGCTAATCTCCACACACCCATTTGGAACAGCAGGGGAGGACGACTGAACAGACCCCTATAAGTAGGGTATGGGGTGGGGGGCTGATGGCTAGGATCTGTAGCTAAAGGGGGGAGAGGAACCTTACCCTAGAACAGGGGTGGGCAAAAGGGCCCCCGTGGGCTGGATCCGGCCCGCCCAGT